GCTTTTTTTTTTTTTTTTTTTAATCTGATTTCTGAAAGAAGGAGAGTCGGTCTAGATGTTAAATGGAATGCAGTTGACCTGTGAGTTTAGAAGCTGGACTGGAAGAGGTTTCTAGAATGACACCTAAGCGTGTGGCTTCCTGATGAGTATTGCAGCTTTGCATTCACACTTTTCTCTCTTCTAAAACATTTTTCTCTTGTCCTATCGCTTTATAAAGCGAGAGCACAGAGAGCAGTGGAAGCCAACTGACAGTCCTGAGGAGACGGTGGGATTTCCTGCATGCCGAGTGCTACTTCGCGTTCGAATTAAGCCTAATAGAAAGTACTGTTTTTCCCTGTGCTAACTTAACTGTCCGAAGAAGTGATTGTATACGCTGTTTCTATGACAGAGGATTAACATAATTCTAGAAAGAATTGTTGTGTTTGTTCTGGTCCTTCTGATGATTTCCACTGATTGCTCCCTGCATAGTTACTAGTTGTAATGTTTTCAGCATGCGAAAACATAACTTTGTAAAATGTTCATCTTCTGTACAGTCTGTCCGCTACAGGTATGCTGCTTTTTTGGTTTTTGTTTTTGTTTTTTTTTTTTTAGGGTGGTGGTTGTGTTAGGAAACCCTCATCCCAGCTCCTGTGATGCTTTCCTGGAGGCAAAGCAGGAGAGGGGGGCAAAGCAGGGTGATGAAGAGTTACAGGGCTGCCACAGTGGCCTCAGCACCTTCTCTTCGAGACACAGTTTCCAGTATGCTGCCTCTTTGTGCTGCAGCAGGAGGCTGCTCTGCTAGCTTTCCTGGAGTGATTCACCCTGCCCTTCTGCACACCCCTGGTGCCAGCAGCTGAGCCTCTCTGTCAGTCTCTCTGGCCGCGTCCCAGGTGGGTGCTTTCAGGAAGATTTCCATAGAAACCAGTGACAGGAAAAACCTGCCCGCCAAGTTCAGCCTCTGATATCCGGTCCTGGTCAGGGAAGGGAGCGCAGGCAGGGGAGTGATCTCTGGCAAGACAGAGGCCAGCATATGATGACGTGGACAAGGGAAGGTGCTCCCCTCTGCTGCACCTGTGCTGGGATGAGGCGGGACTCTCGACCTCAGTTCTCTCCTCCTCTCCCTCCTGAGCGCCTGGGTTAGCGCACTTGTTATGGGCTGTTTTCTCTTCTACAGCTATGCCCAGCACGCTGGCCCAGCTCCTCCATAACAGGTTGGTTCAGCTGTGATTGTACATAAAATGGAGGTTAATAATGATGTAGAGGGATTCCTACTCACACGCTCAAAGCACTAAGAACAAATTCAGAGCGCAAATAATATGAAGCATAGCAAGTACTGTGTATTTAAAATGCCTTCCTAAAGGAAGACACTATAAGAAGAAAAAACAGGTGGAAGCACATTCTGCCTTGCCTTTCTAACCGTGGGCTATGTTCTGACCCCTGGCCTACAAACTGCACCAAATAACAACTATGTTCCTCATAAATGTCACTAGAAACTGGGAGAACTGGGCTGAGAGAAGTAAGGGGAGAAGGACTTTTTCCAGGCCCAAGAATAGAGCAGCTGTGGTAGCAGGACAGACACTTGTCTTCAGAGCTGTCAGAATACATTCAGAATTATTTTGAAAGGGGAATAAGCATTGTCAGCAGGTTTACCTGCTTGATGTGCATGCTCTGTGCATTTGCGTGTGAAGTGAGCGTGCCGGTGCTCATTTCATAGTTCTTATTGATGTCTTTAGCTATTGGGGGAAGACGTGGTACTGAGCGAGCAAGTGGGGCTAGAGCAGTAGGCCAGAATTCAGGGCAGGATAGAAGGGCGTTTGCAGAACTTGTGGGCAGCAACTGGCTGTTGTATGGACAAGAAAACTTCTCATCAGAAACAAAAGCTGGTTGTGCGGGGAGGGTTGCTCTAAGATACTTCAGGGGTGTCTGAAGATTGAAGTGCCTGCTGGTCCATGACAGCCTTTCTCATTTAGACTGCTACTTAGATTTAGGAGGAAGAAGTCTTGTTATTTGTGTTCTCAGACACAGATGCTTTTTATGCTTTTGGAGTGTTTCATAGCTATTTAGCTTGGAGTGCTGTAGCATGCCGCTCCTAGGATGCTAGTGCTTGCTCGAAAGTTCACCGAGGTGTGAAGGCAGGAGTGGTAACGTAACCTTGTACTACTGAACACTGGAAACAGCTCAGAAAAGGCCTGCTGGATGAATCGCTTAGGTTCCTGCTCTCAGTGCTTTGCAGTCATAAGTAGCTTTACTGAAAACGGAAAGCTGGAAAATCAATCCAAGGCATGCAAGTGTTAGTTTCTCTCAGTTTTTTTCCCAAGCAGGTATGAGTATCTACTTGGTGGAGGTGGCTTTTGCTGTCTCACAGACACAGAATTATAGGTTGCTCTTGGAGTCCAAAATATATCCCTCTGATGAGGGAAGGGGAAGATATCTTTACATTTATTAAAGCCTGTAAAACAAGGAAGCTGTTATGACTCTTTATTTGATACAAAACCTTTATTGAACTGTTCCATTGCTGCCCTGGAAACTCCCTATGAAAATCTACCTCGAATAGATAGTAAGAAGGTAAGGAAGGGAACTGTGTGGCCTGTTTCATCATCTGAGCTCAATCATTCAGTGTAGTTCAGAGGAGTTTGGCTCCTAGCCTGTTGCAGAGGTACTTTGCAATATATTCTCCGCAGTCTGGTCCAGTTCATCGCATGAAATCCTTGTCAGAAGCTTCCCCAGTTCCCTTCGGGAGCATATTCCACACCTTGCTTCTGCGCTTTGTGATGCTACTCCTGAAGTGCGTTTTAGGCTATTGCATCTAATGACTTCCCCTTAAACCCTTTTCACTGTTCCAGTCCCGTGTCCGTGGGCAGCAAATTCAGAGAATGATGATATATGGTTATTTTTTAGTGTTCATCATTAAATGCGGGACTCTCAATATGTGATAGAAAAGGTGATGAATGTTGACTTTTTAAGCATTCTTTCAATCGGATTCTGTTACTGTTGCAAGGAATTTGGTAAATATCATTGTGGTCTTTCTTGCTGATGGGTAGATGTGAAACCTAGAGGGAATTCCAGTCTCTGGAATTTAATTTTCCCATGGGGAGCTTCAGTTCTAAGGATGTAATTTTTCTGTGGGGAACTTGTGTGCGAGGGGTTTATCTCCCACTGTATTCTCAAGATTAATTCTCTCATCATCTGTTCTTATTTTTTCCTTTCACAACAGGGTAGTGACTCCTCACCTCTGAGAACAGCATACCTGGATACCTGCTGACAGCTTCTACCCTCCGGCCTTCAGGAGTGCAATGTCAGGTAAGCAGACAAAAATGGACACAGTATCTTCTTAGTTGCATGCTCTTTCTTCAGCTGCAGCTTATTAAAAGAAAGTTACTGTTTCAAAGACCCATTCTTTACATTAATGTACTGTTCTGGTCAAATGCAAGGAGAGGAGACTGCCCTGTTCTTTGTGATCCAGCCCTCTTTGCACTCGGGGTGAATTCCTCTTTCTTTTACCCTGCCCTGAAGCCTGCGAAAGCCTGCTTCACCCATTTAGCACAGAAAGACGCTGAAATTTAGTCTGCCTCCCACATTTTCCATAAGATTAGCTTGGTTCTGTTTGCCTCCCAAGATCGATCTCAAAGTAGGTCACTTTGTTACAATCTGAGAGAAGGCTTCTTGCTATAAACTGGTAGCTTTAGGGTAGGGAGAAGGCTGAAGAATAACAGGAGTGCAAAAGTGAACAACAGGGACATAGGCTTTTCTGATACTGACTCTCCTCCAAGATATCCCTCATGCTGTGGCCAGCTCTCCCACCCCATGTCTTTGTCGAGACATTCCTTCCTGATTAAGCTGGTTACTCCAGGGAATACAGCAGCAAGGGAGACCTCAGAGCCAAGGAAATCTTTTGCTGGTGATGCACGCAGCAAGAGGTCTGGGGCATGCTTATCTTTTTTCCAAAAGTTTCTGCTTTTATTCCAAGGGAAGCTGTTCAGTGGGCACTACCTGAGACTTGAAGGGTGCTTACCCTGGACGCACAAGACGAGATGATAGGAATGCTTTCCCTGCTGCAGCTCTGCAAGTGGTCTGGCAACCCTGCAGTGATGGTAGCAGTGTCCCAGCCCCTCCGTTCTCCTGGAGCTGGCATCCGCTGCAGCAAAGGGAGCAGACAAGCCCCTTACTGAGGGCTCTGATCTCTGTTTGGTGTCTGGGTGACAAAGTTCCAGGGAACTGTGGAATACTGCCCATGTTGGGGTCAGTGACCCTGTAGGAGGCATATGCTCCTCCATAATAAATTTTCCATAACGGTTCCCCTGGCTTGGCACATTAGAACACAGCTTTTCCAAGAAAGATCACGTCATACTATGGAATTATTTTATTTCCCTGAAAGTCCCCTTTTTCTAGGGTACTCAGCTTGGCCTTTCTGCGCCTTTGCTCAGTAATTAGGGACGAAACCTTCTGAAGGCATTTGCTTCCTTCATGCATTGGGAGCTGTCTAAGTGTCTAGAGTGTCAGTAATGACAAACTGCTCAGCGAGTCCTTTTTTTGTTGAAATTGTCTACACTGAGCGTGCCTGTGCCAAGGGAGTCCTCATGGCTTTTCATTGTTATATGTCTATCTTTTGTTTAGGGCACCACACTCCCTCTGCTGGGGGTCCCTTCTCAGCACTCACCCCCAGCATTTGGCCGCAGGAGATCCTGGCAAAGTATACACAGGTACAGTGCGGGGCAGGGAGGGTGCGTTCTCTGGCTCTGCACATAAATAAAGAGGTACTGGTGATTTGTTGACCTCTGAAAGCTCCAGGGAAAAGAGGAGGATATGAACTCCTCTTCTCCCTGTGGTTGGATTATGGATGCTTGTTTGCTACTTAAACTTCATGTATTTTGTGGCTGTGTCCTGGGTCTTGCAAGAGGATCTTGCAGAGCGCAGAGAAACTTGTGTGAGTTATTGCTCTGCTGTTTTGCAACTGTTGCTCCACTGCAAAAGTGTTGACACTCTAGGGGAGTCTCTGTCACCATCAAGCTACGTTGGATGACTTGTGCATGGCAGGAAATGCTAGCCTCAAGACTTGTCCCCAGGTGGGCAGAGCAGGAAGGAAGGAAGTGGCCATGGAATTTTGTAATCTTACCCACAGTGTTTGCTGAAGGCAGCTGAGCCCAGTGAAGCATGTTGAAGCTTATTTTGGAGCTTTGCTAGAAGCACGTTTCTTGGATGCTGCTTGTGCGCAACTCTTTTGAGACCCTACAGGAGGGGTGGGTGCAGGGCTTGCAGGAATGGGGAGGCATCTGTAGGTTTTCACTCCTGAAATAAGCCTCCTGATTGTAACCACCAGTGTATCTACCCCAGTGCTAGCCACAAGTACAGGTGAGGAAAGATGAGATTTGGGTTCATGGAATTGAATTCCTTTGGCCTGGAATTCGGGCTTACTGTATGGGTGCAAATCCCAGCTTAGCCTGTTGTCTCCAGAGAAGGTCTGAAAGCAACAGGCAAGAAATGGGGCAATGCAGGGAGCTAAATTTGCACAGTGCGTGCGCACTGGGTAACAGCCAGCCAGCTATGTATTAGAGACCCAGACAGTAGAGAATGTGTTAGTTGGTGTATGTACATTCCCAAATGTGTTAGGGCTGTGTGCCCTTCTAAGTAGGGATTGTCTGAAGTCTTGATCTTGATCTGATGCCACCCTCAAGCAGGTGTACTAAGCCCTTCTGGAAAAATGACTGCTGGGAAAACATGTGGATAGGAAAGCAGGGCTTTACATCTTCCACAGAGAAATCAGAATGGGAGTAGTGTGCAACACATTTCCAACTGGGAAGCGTTGCTGCACTGGGGAGGCATAGAAAGTAAAGATCTAGGGAGTAGGGAGTCCCCTTGCTCAGAGGGCACAGCACTGGCAGTGGTGGGATTGAATGGGGCAGCGTCCGCATGTCTCTCTTCAGTTGTTCAGTGCTAGACTGGTGAAAGTGTATTCTCCTTCCTCACATCCCCCAGAAAGAAGAATCCATCGAGCAGCAAGAATTCCACTACGATGAATTTGGTTTCCGAGTTGATAAGGAAGGTAAAACCAGTCCCATCCCTCCCCCTTCAAATGTATCCTGGTTCCAGCCCTTCCCATGCTCCTGAGTATAGAAAGGTGATTTTGCAACCCTTCTTGCTAGGTCTTCTCTATCCCCCGCTCCATCTTCTTTCCTTGTGTTTTCGTTGTTATCAAGGGCTGTGCTTTAAAAGTGCTGGTCCTACAGTAGTCTGGAGCCTAGAATATGTAACAGATTCTTTTCCATCAAATTCATTTCCATTGTCTACGCCTGTGCCGTGGGTGAGAGAAAGAGGAAAGTGTATCTCCATTAACAACTGTGTGCTGGGGAAAGACAGTCTTCTCAGTTCAGTGAGGCCCCTGTTGTGGTCAGTAGCACCATAAGCAACGAAAGCAGACAGTGGCACGTGCTGTCCGTAGAAAAACTTGCAGCCATTCATCTTGGCTGCAAGTTTTTCAGTGTGTTTTCTACTCATCCCAGCAGCTTGGGAGAGGATGTCTGAGTACCGATATCACACTTTTTCTGCAAGATATGTGGGCAGGAGACCAAAGAGATGAAGGTCTGGAGAGCTATTGCAGCTCAGCATTGAACTAGAAGCTAGCTGCTTTTGCAAAAGGGGAAGAAGAGAAAGGAGTGAGGGGCAGTAGGAAAGCCTTTCTGTGCTGTGAGAGGAGATTGCATTGTATGAGCCCTGGAAGGGACAGAAGTTGTGTGCATGTGTGCCCTGAGGCACCCTGAGTCGTAGAGGAGCCTCCTTGAAGCAATAACGCACAGATGAGGACAGGACAGAGCAATTTTCTTCAGCCAGAACATTTGACAGACTTATGCATTATAAAGTCAGCAGAAAGCGTTTGAATTGTATTGTTAAGATCCATTTGTTATACGATGAAGGACCGCGCTTTACAACAAATTCATGACTTGTGGTACAGTAAAATATCTATTTTAGAAAGTCAGAATCAGGTTAAGGCTATCTCTTTATGAATTCACAAGTGTCTCTATTAAAGCTTTTTTTGTTTATTTAATATCTCCATTGTTAACATTTTGTGCCTCTTGCATGAGCATATAGCTTCTGCTTTCCAGCTCTGAGGCTTACTGTGCTTTTGTTAGCATGATATACAGATCCTCACAAAACCCAGCAAGATGGCTGTTGCCATGGTGTTGTTTAATTCCAGCCATCTTCTGCTCTAAATCATAGATGGAGACTATGCCTGCTGACCACATTGAGATTTCAAGGCCCCAGTGCCCTTTGCTTATGACGATACAATTTGCTGCGTGGAGAAGGCAGTCTGAAACCGAGCCTTGCCTTCCCATGCTCTGGCTGAAAGACGTGGATGTTCTTACGTGCATTCTTCAGATGGCCACCCCCTGGGTGCTTTCCTCTGCCTGTTCCCTCTCTCTCACTTCTTTCCATTTCATTCCCTTCCCTTTGCTGAGGCAGATGGTGCTGAGCCAAACTCCAGCAAGCTTCTGGGGATCCCACTGACAGAAGAGCCGCAGCAGAGGCTCAAGTGGCAAGCTCACCTGGAGTTCACACACAACCATGACGTGGGCGACCTCACCTGGGACAAAATTGAGGTCACCCTACCACATTCAGACAAGCTGCGCTCGCTGGTGCTAGCTGGCATCCCACACAGCATGAGGCCGCAGGTGAGAGTGCTGCCTGCTCTGGGCAGGCCCTCCTGCCTAGGGTAAGAGATGGTGGAATGAGAGACCATTCTGAGAAGGTGTCATGTTATGGCATTCTGTGGTTGTCTTAATGACTCTTCCTGTCTCTGTTTACCCTATCCCAGCTATGGATGCGTCTGTCCGGGGCCTTGCAGAAGAAGAGAAATTCAGAGATGTCATATCGGGATATTGTAAAAAACAGCTCTAATGATGAGACCATTGCTGCCAAACAGGTAGGAGACACTGCCTACTGCTAACTGGACTGTGGGGGGAAGGGCAAGATTGGCTGCATGAGGAGGAAGGGGTGTCTGCCTAATGCCCACAGCAGGGGCAGCTGAGAGGACAGACGTGGCTGAATCCTGCTGCTTCTTATCCAGCCGGGCATATTTCTCCTTTGTTTTATTGGAATGGGAATTGTGGAGCTCCCTTCCATCCCAGAAAGCCAGGGAAGGGATTTGCCCCGTGTTACCTGTGGCCTAGAAAACTGTGCTTCAGTTACATGCCCACTCTTCTCAGTGGTGAAGCCAGGAGCTAAGTTTAAGCAAGTGTTTATTGGGAGCCACTGAGTCAATGTCCATGCTGGCCTTTTCCCAGGTGTCGGTGAAGACTGTTAAGCGGACTCCAGGTGCTTGGACAGGGCCATGGCCTTTGGTACCTAAGGGCTTAGGAATGGTGTGGGGAAGCAGAGTACATGGCTGAGGCAGGGGGCCACAGGGAGTAGAAGGTAGCTTTTCAGATACTGCTAGCTGACCCTTTCCTTGCTTGTGGCTGTCTGGCAGATTGAGAAGGACTTGCTCCGCACGATGCCCAGCAATGCCTGCTTCTCCAACATGAACAGTATTGGAGTGCCACGTCTACGCAGGATACTCCGGGGACTTGCCTGGCTCTATCCAGAGATAGGATATTGCCAAGGCACTGGCATGGTAACCTGCTCTCATAGTGCTGTTGCGTTAAGGATCATTCTGTCTGTGATAGCTACACTGAGGCAAGTGATTTGAGGCCAGACTGCCAGACGCTCTGTGAACCACACTACTTGAAGGGAAATCCCTTCCAAATTGAGCTTTTTCTCCTAGGGAAGGGGAAAAAAAAAAAGAGTAACACATGTACAAAGACATGGAATGCTTCAGCCTGTCTGGTGGGAGGGACAGGTGTTACGCTGAGGACAAATCCCTTCAGTGGGAGGCTGCAGGAGAGCCGTTGTGAAGGGAGGAAGGTTTTGGCTACGTAGACTGGAGTGGTCTGGAGGGGTGGGGGAAGAGTTCTGCTCCTCTTAGGACAAGTTGGCTGTGCAATAATTCTTCCTTCAAAATCCCAGGTAGCAGCTTCCCTGCTGCTCTTCTTGGAGGAAGAAGATGCCTTCTGGATGATGTGTGCTATCATTGAGGAACTGGTTCCTGCCTCCTACTTCAGTACCACTCTGATGGGGGTTCAGACAGATCAGCGTGTCCTGCGGCAGCTCATTGTGCAGTACTTGCCCCGCCTGGACAAGCTGCTCCAGGAGCATGACATCGGTAAAAAGCATGTTTTAGAGATCACAGCTTTTTTGGCCAGGGTGATGTGCAAGCAAAAGATTAATGTTCCTGTTATACAGAGGGAGAGCAGCAGGTCCAGGAGCAGGCCTCCTGGCCCTGGAGGCCAGTGCAGTGCACAGTCACCTTTAATCTGGGAGGGCAGCACTTAGGAGGGTCCATCTTCACTGGTTGACTGACTTCCCTTGTCATGTTTCCTTTCTGTGTCTCCATTCACAGAGCTGTCCCTGATTACCTTGCACTGGTTCCTCACCTCTTTCGCTAGTGTTGTCCACATCAAGCTGCTGCTGCGCATTTGGGACCTGTTCTTCTACCAGGGTTCTCTGGTGCTGTTCCAGCTCACGTTGGGCATGCTCAGTATGAAGGTAATTCCTGCCTCCTTTTTAGTGCTTTGATGTTTAACTCTGAGTGCTAGAGGTGAGAGAATTTTGTATCCGCTTCCTGTGTGTGTTTTGGGACTGTGCCAGGGAAGACGACCTGCCTTCCTCAGAATTAGGTGCGCAAAGGCTTCTAGTGCGCTGCTGGACATTCAGGGATTGCTGTTTTGCTTCCCTACCTCATTTGTTTTCTCATGATTAAAATCCCCCCAGCTGCCTCCCTCTATTCACTCTAGATCCCAGCCTGAGGGCCCATCCTTCCTGAACCAAGAGAGGTCTTGATTTTGCATCATCTCTGGTCAGAGATATAAAACCAAGGTTGTGGCCATCTGGGGAGCCAGACTTTGATGCCACTGTTGAATGCTCCAGGAGACTAACTTCGTTGTCCAGCCTTTATTTAATTTGGCTAGCGTACATTTGACCAGCCTGGTCTTTTCCCTTGTTATGTGAGGAATGATTCTGTATTCAGCTTGGTGTGTGGAGGGCAAGGGTGGGCCTGCTGGGAGCGAGGGGAACGTGCAACTCTGGGTGGCACGGTAGATGCTGTATAATGTGAGAGACTGGGCAGCTTTCATTCCCTGTCCCCAGAAAGAGCCCTGCTAGCCCTGCTGTGCCCAAACATGGTGGTGGATGCGTATTAGCTTCTGTTTTGTCTGTCTTTGGTGATTTGGCTTTGTTTCAGTGGTGGATGCTGTGATGTGAAAACATGCCAGATAGTATTTTTGGAGCAGATCTCAGTGCAGTAGAGTAGTGAAAGATGCTGCTCCTCTCCTAAGGATAGCTTGGACTTTTCCTACCAAAGTTCTTTGTGGAAGTGAGTGGTTGTATGTGGGTTGTTTCTGGCCCAGGCTGTATGGTGAGCATAAAGTTGCATCTAGCAGCCCAAGAGCATCGCTATCAGGCTCACTGTTCTGTGTGGTGATATGATCTCGTCCTTACAGGAGGATGAGCTAATCCAGTCTGAGAACTCGGCCTCAATCTTCAACACGCTTTCGGACATCCCAAGTCAGATAGAAGATGCCGATGTGCTGCTGCGGGAGGCCATGCGCGTGGCTGGCTCACTAACAGATGTGGCGGTGGAGACCCAGCGGCGCAAACACTTGGCCTACCTCATTGCTGATCAAGGGCAGCTGCTCAACTCCAGCACCACTGTCAACAGTTTATCCAAGGTGAGTGTGCAGTCCAGTCAGCCTCTGCTGCTCCGTTTCTGCCATTACCTTGTGTGTTCCCAAATGCTGTTCGTGAGCAAGAGGTCCTCCTATCTGAGATGGCTTTGGCTCCAGGATAAATGTGTCGTCCCTTGGAGAAAAGGTGACTTCCCTTGGGGAAGTGAGGGGGAAGGTCTGTTCTACAAGAAATGCTGCCAAACGTCTCCTGGCTGATGAAGCCCCAGGTGAAAGGGATATTGACATAAACCGTTGTTATCATTAGTGAAAATTGTGATGGAAAGTGATGCATTTCATTAATGGGAACTAAAAGAAACAGCATAGGCTTTTGGCAGAATTTGCTTGGAACTACTCTGCTCTGTGTGCACTAGTTAGGAGTAGGAATTAATCCATTAGTAAGAAACTGATACGCTAAAATAACTCTTCTTGGAAGGCATTCAGAAAGCAACAGCAGCCTTTGAGAAGCTGAGTGGAAAATGCAGCTAAGTTTAATCTCGGACTACAATCTATGGTTGCAGATGTAACATAAGAGTCATTAGTAGCTCCTGTTCATCAAGTCTGTTTGGAAGATACATTCTTGATGTTTGCATGCTCCTGCCGTTCACAGGACGCTCCTGCCATTCTAAAACGTAATAGGCATCCACTTATGAATTTAAATATAATTACATATGGAGCTGCTTTTGGCAACAGATGAAATTAGAACTAAAATTTATTCACTTGAATCATGGTTGATTCGTGAACGTCAATTATGTTCTCATAATAATTGAGCTATAAATAACCTGTTGCACGTGGACTAGGTCAAGTAGTAGAGCTGATTCATTGCATTAGAAGTAGAGCAACTCTTGTCTAAAACTGCAGAGTCACTTGCCTGCCTCTTCCAGTGGTAGCTGCCAGGACCCTTTCCCCAGAGCTGGCCCGTGAGGAAGATGCTTTATTTTGTTTCTTGAATCTGTGCTTACGCATGCACTTTGTTCTTGCTCTTCCCTGTCTTTCAGGTTGTGCGACGCAGGACTCAGCGCAGGAAATCTGGCATCACCTCTCTGCTTTTCGGTGAGGACAAACCTGTGACTTTCACGTGCTGTTGATGGAGGTGGTGGCCTGGGAGGGAGGTGGGTAAGGAAAGCAGAGGAGGAGAAGAGAAGGGAGCCACAGCTGAAGGATGAGAGGGAAGTAGTACAGCTTTCCCTTGGTCTGAGCTCAGAAAGTAGAATTCAGATGAGTTAGTGAGCACTTAAAGGCTGACTAACAGCAGGCTGTGGCTCAGCCCAGCTGTAATGCTCCTCCTGGAGAGCATTACAAAAAATGCAAGGAGAAATCCTCCTTGCACTGACTGCCAGGTCAAACTCATTTTCTGGCAGGCTGTGTGCAGTCTGTGGGTTGTACGTTGTGCTCTGCCGATCTTGTTCCCCTCAGTTCAGGAGCATCATCTCCAGAGATATGAGGCAGGCAGGGCAGGATGGTCCAGTGTGTCACCTGTCAAAGCTTATAAATGCAAGCATCGCCTGTGCTCCCCCTTGCCTATTCTGTGAGCTCAATGTTGTGAACACTTATGCATTTTAATTCTCGTTGCTTATGAGCTGGGCCAGCGTATGTCCAGAAAGCAAACATCCAGGATAGAAAACATGTGTCCAGACAGCAGTGTCCAGAAAGCAAACATCCAGGATAGACTTTGCATGGGTTTAAAAATAACTTGCTTCTGCAGTGCTGTAATAATAGCCCTTTCTATTGTAAGCCTTAATGTCATCACCTTACTTGTGAGTGGTTAGTTTTCTTGAAATAGCCACATCTCACCACAGAAATTGTTTTTCCGGGGGAAGAGAATGTGCTGAATTTATAGCATTCAAATAATGTTCCTGTTGTGGTTGAAATGGCCTGAGTACATCCAAAACTGGGTTTTACTGGTCTTTCAGAAAAGAGGCTTTTTGATGTTCTCCAGGAAGCTAATCCATTTTCAAAAGCTTGCTGCAAGCGCATCCAGCATTGTATATAAAAATGACGGTAGAAGATTGATGAAGTTGTGAAGTTAAGCGTGCAGAGTGAAGAAATCCAGGAAAGTTGCTTGTGCAACTTAGACCTTTTGTGCATAATGTTATCGTGCAGTCAGTACAGACTGAACCTGCGGGGAACTTAGTTGCAAAATGCATCTTGCTTGTGTCTCAGATGGAGATTCCTCTTGGCCAAATTTGAGTGGCTTTTCTGAGGGTGTTAGTGAGCTATACCCTGGCATGAAGACAAATTTTAAGTTCAAGATTTAAAACGTAGCAATGGTAGAACCATATTGTTGAGACTGTTAATAATGCTTTTTCATGTTAATAGTTTACTTGTTGTGTGTGTGGGGTTTTTTTTTATGGTGGCTGGCATGTTTTTGCCCTAATGTTATTATTGATAATTAAAAAGTTGATTAAAATAAAAAAAAAAAATTGTCATCCTGCAGCAGGCGACCAAAATGGAAAACTTCAGCCTTAGTGGGGGAAGGGAAAGCTTGTTGTGCTATATCCGCCACTTTATTGGAAAGAGTCAAACTATCTTAACTGTAAGATCTGCTGCCTGTGACAGTTATTTTGTGGAGTTGGTACATAGCCCTCATCTGGGTGGGAAGAAGAATTTACCAAGGACCTACTCCTTCTTCCTTAGATTGAATGGAGACTTAATAGTGACTTGGACAGGAGCTGTCGAACCACAGGAGCACTGTTCGGAAGGGACCTCTGGGGGTCTCTAGCCCAACCTCTCCTCCTCAAAGCTAGACTCTTGCCAGCACTAGATCAGGTCAGCCGTGACTTTCTCTAGCTGAGATTCAGGGAGACAGATCAGATTGTTAATGAAGGAATAGAGAGAAGAAACAGTAAAAGGTAGTTTGAGGGAGAAAAGATGTGCGTGTTCCCCTTTTTCTATTGAATGGCCATTGCAACAAAGAAACGCAGGAGAACTGGCCCTCCTTAGCATAACTGTGCAGCCTGTCAGCCTTTGTAGGCTCAAAATTGAGCCTCCCCACACATGGCTAATCCTGCACTGGTTTCCTGTTTTGGAAACGTGCATGCAGGTGTGTGGGGTGCAATGAGGTGAATCTGGTGGAATCCCCTCTTGCTTTCCTGTGTAACCTGCCCCTCCTGAGGAGGGAGGGTGCAGAACAGCATCTCTCCTGCCTGTGTCTGGGTGGGATTCAGCTGGATACAGAGAGAGGAGCCCAGTATTTTGGCCAGAAGGGACCAAATGATGAAAGAAAGAGTTAGAGAGTCCATGTGCATAAATGAGAGCAGCCCACTGAGCTAGTGTGTCTATGATCAAGTAGCTTATTCTTTAGTCACATTTTAACCACATGAATTGTCTGAGAATCCCCAACACCTGCATGATCAGCTGTCAGTTTACAGTCTTTGTATCTCTGAATCTGTCGTGAGGCTTCTTACATGCTCTACTTCCTACCCCGGCCATTGAAAAGGTGGTTTTGTTAATTTTCTTTGCTTGGACTGGAAGTAAGCATATCTTAAGCTTTGCTCCTGGAATAGAAAAAGGGTGTTTTTCTCTTAAACCTTGTGTGACTAAGTCTCATCCATTCATCATTTAATTGAGCAAATAGAAAAAATTTAAAAACATTATTTTAGTCTATTTTTGTGCTTCCAGTTACATTCTTAAAGTTTTGGTCCTTTTAATTGATACCAGTTGTGATTGAAAGATAGTGGATGTCACCTTTCATTAAGCAGGAGGCTACTCTTCATCTATACGTAAGGAGGCTACTCTTCATCTATATGTAGCTGTTGTAGTGGCTGTATAGCTCAGGCCATATTTTATTCATATTGATTTCTGCAACGCTGTTAGATAACTGGTGTACAGTTTGCTAGCTGATGATTTTCTTAGGACATGCTTCAAAGCTGCATTTGCATAAAAGCTTGACTTCAGTGAAACGTGCATTGTTTTAAAAATTGATTTTGTCAATCAAGCTACCACCTCTTAAATATATTGTGGATAGAGCAAAAACAAAGTATAAAAGTACATTTTGAATTTAAAACAAATTGATTTATTTAGAAAAGGAGCAAATGGTTCACTGTGTCCAGACATCATCAACCCAAGGATTAAGGCATTCAGGGGCGTTAATTCTGATTAGGTATGCACCTAAAGACATTAATCAGGTTAAAGAATCAATCCCTCTGGGTGTCTTTCTGCACAGACTAATAGAAATAGGCTGTCAAAGCTCCTGTGGAAATTGTGAAAGTTGGAAGGTGCTTTGGTCACTTTTACTTTGTACTTACAATGGTTTTTGTGCACCCAATACCTTTGAGCATTGGCTTTTAGGATGGTTGAGGTCTTAAGAGAGCTGGGCTCTTAGCCCTCTTTCGTGTGTCAGTCCAGAAGTCAGAGCCTTGAGGGACATCTTGGCTTTCACGTTTTTTCAGGACCCAATGAGGGAAATACTCTCAGCCCGTGAGCTATGTACAAATCAAAAGTAATTCAAACAAAAACTGTTTCAGAACTTCTTTTGAACTGATGAAACTGAAAGTTCTCTGCTTTTGAGTCGCACCACTCACTCTGCTGTCTCTGCATACTGCATAGACACTTCTGCAATGCAGCATACGGTGCCTTGATATACTGATTTGCCCAGAAAGATAAAAGATGACACATTCCAGTTCCATATGTAGTTTGAAATAGCAACTCCTTAAAGTTTGAGGCAGTCCTGTTGGTATATCTTATTTACGTTATTAAATAGGTGGCAGTAAATACCTGCCTTAACGCAGGCAGTCTTCATGTCAGGCTTGTTTGATTTCTATAGGAACAGTGATTTCTAATGTTAACAACAAATAGATACCTTGCACTTGTCTTCCTCTCCTCTCCTCCCCTCCCTTCTGGCTATGTGGGCTTCCCCAGGGGATGATGACCTGGAGGCGCTGAAGGCGAAGAACATCAAGCAGACGGAACTGGTGGCTGACCTGCGTGAGGCTATTCTCCAGGTGGCACGGCACTTCCAGTGTGTGGATCCCAAGAACTGCAGCATTGTGAGTGGAGACAGCCGGGTCTACGTTGCTGCATGCTCCAGGCATGAGTGTTGGGTATCTGCTGCAGGCCAGGGCTGTTCTAATACTGCTGGAGCTTCTAGGCTGAAGGAAGAACACGCCGGGGTAATGTGTGGAGGGCGAGGGATGCTCAACCCCCCTCTGGTGGAGAAGGGTTGTGCTGGGAAGTTGTCTGCCTGCTAGGAGAGGGAGAACGGGTTGAGACAGGGGCATGCGAGCTTTGGTAGAGCAGCTCTGAGTCACCTATTGTTTTCCCTTCCTCTTTGCTCCTCATCCATGTACCTGCCAGGATCTAACTCCAGACTACAGCATGGAAAGCCACCAGCGGGACCATGAGAACTATGTGGCCTGTTCCCGCAACCGCCGGCGTCGAGCAAAGGCGCTTCTGGACTTTGAGCGCCATGATGATGATGAGCTGGGCTTCCGCAAGAACGACATCATCACGGTGCGTCAGCCCATGAGAGAAGGGCCAAGGCAGGACCCTGCAGACCTGAGTTTTCGGGACGCTATGCTGCCTCCTCTGCAAGGAAGCAAGGGAGGAGGTTTAGCTCAGAGCCCATTTAGGAGTCTTGGGGAAGCAGCTGGTGTTTCTTGGGGCTGTATGGGGACAAGACAGTATGTTCCCATGAGTGCTGTCTCGTGGCTCACCCTCGATGCAGCCGCACAGTTTGTTTTCTGGCTGCCGTACAGCTGAGCAAGAGACTAATTTGGTCTAACCCGGGTCCAGATTTAATGCTGCGCGCGGGGCCGTGGTAAGACCGAAAAGGCATCCATTTGCCTTTTAGCTGTCATCATCCGCTTTGGAACAGCAGAAAATGGGGATGGCATTGTGTTTGCACCAGTCTTTTGCCCTTGAAGGCTCTCAGCCACGTGAGAAGAGGGCACTGGCACAGCAGCTGAGGAAAAAGTAGTTCCTCACTCTGCGTGCACGCTCAGGCAGCATAGTTCTCCTGGCACTGTACCCACTCTGTTGTGTAGAGTGTGGAAATCTGGGAGGTAGCACTGTGCCCTGCCACCGTTCCTCAGTGCTCAGAAGTTACTGCCTGACCCTCTCTTCAACCAGTGTTTTCCACTCTCCGTTTTTCAGATTGTCTCCCAGAAGGATGAGCACTGTTGGGTGGGGGAGCTGAATGGACTGAGAGGTGAGAGCAGGAAGGGTTGGACTGGGAGGAGCAGGGCGGGATGGGAAGCATCCCTTCATCCACAGCAACTGCTCTAGTACATGTGCTTTATCCATGTCAGCAAAGACTCTGCCAGTCACCCGAGGCATCTGCCAGGGAGGAGGGAAATGTTATAGCAGGGCAGAAGAGCAGTGGTGCAGCCCCCTGGTTATTTCTTGCAAACACCAAGCCTGGACTTTGTTCTCCTGGCACCAGGTGGCTGGGTGGGTGCTGTCTGTGCTGCTTTTTTTTTTTTTCTGTGTGGCTTTTTTTTTTTTTTTCTTTTTAAGGCTGCCGACTCCATTCTTTGGAGTTGGGCCCTATGAACCCTGTTTCGTTCTTGCCTTCCCTGCTACTGGGCTCTGATCTTGTCTGTATAGGAGTTTCTCAGAGCCCATGTCAGGCTCATGTCTTTGTTCACCCTTTGCAGGTTGGTTTCCTGCAAAGTTTGTGGAGATCTTGGATGAGCGGAGCAAAGAGGTAAGTTTAAAAAAATAAATAAATAAAAAATGAATGTCATGGCTGAAAAACTGTAGTTGAAAAGAGCAATGCGTTTCTCTCCGTAAGTCTGTTTGTTCTCTCTGGCTGTTTAGTGCTTGCTGGTGTGGTCAGGCAGCTTACGTTCCTAAGTCTGTTTGCTCAACTTCCTGATGCTGGCCGTGCAGAGAATGGAGGCCGCAAAGGGCTCGAGGGGAGCTGAGTGCAGTGTCGGGGCTTGCAAGGCCCTCGGAGACCAGCTCTGGGAAAGCTGTGAATGAGGCAGGCAGGTACACAGCAGGATCCAGCAGGCGGTGTTTCTGCCTGCCCCTAGCTCCCTGTGCTCACTCACCGTCTCCTTTGGGGCTGTCCCTGTGGGTCCTGCTTGTGCTTTGTGGTCACCATGACACATTCTCCAAGTAATGGTGCCTGGGGGGCGCTCTGTCTCCGTTCTTCTCGCCACCTGCAGTGGTAAGAGAGAGCTGGCTTGCGTCCAGCGCTTGCCTGGAAACGTCCAGACGTGGCTCTTGCTCCAGCCTTATAGTAGTTGTGGTTTTAGTGCTAAAAGTGAGAGACAGACGAGTCCAGCAAACGTTTCTCTACGTGATACCTCAATATGGTCCCAAGGCTTGGGTTGTGGATAGGAGACAAAGGTCATCAGCTGTTGGTCTAGGCAGTTTGGAGGGGAAGTGGAGAAGACCCTGTACTTCCTCTCCTCCCCATCATTTGGAGACTGAGGAAAGACTCAAAGGCTGACTGAGACCTCAAGAGAAGCCCCTAGAGAGATGTCACTAGTGACATTTTTCAGTCACTTTCCTCGCTGCCTTCTCGGGGCTGGTCCCTTAGATGCAGGCCATGTACCTCTGGGTGCATAAACACATGCCCTGTAGTGCTGAACAGTTGTTCTCCCAGCTGTGGAAATATGGAGGCTCCTAGTCATCCTAATTCTGGCATGTTACTGTTCAGTCCTTCATGCTAGCAGCATGCCGGCGTGATATCTCAGAGTGGTGTTAGCCAACCTGGGAATTCCCACCTATCCCCGTTTGTCTTGACCTTTAGCAGCTGATGGAGTCCCAGAGAGCTGAGAGATGTGGGGTGTCCCCCTGTCCTTGCCTTAGCTCAGTCAGCATCACATCAAACCACAGCAGTGCCTACACACTGAGCGCTGCCAGGATGGTGTTGGTGTCACCTGTGTGGTCTCCAGTGCAGCACCCAGCCACAAAGGTCCTGGTGTCCCAGCAAATCCCAGGGGCCTAAGTCCTGAACCTGGTGCCCCATGCAAGAGCCAGTGAGACCGTGAGGGGTTAAGGGAGAGGACTGATGTGCATTTGGGAGTGAAGAGGTGCGTGTGGAAAAGGTGTAGGTGTGTATAACACCTCCATGCTCTGCTCCCTCACCAATGCACTGAGAGCTGGCTCTTCATGTTCCTCAGTACTCCATTGCTGGAGATGACTCTGTCACAGAAGGGGTGACGGACTTGGTGCGAGGGACGCTCTGTCCAGCCTTGAAGTCCATTTTTGAACATGGATTGAAGAAGCCATCTCTGCTGGGGGGGGCCTGCCATCCCTGGCTGTTCATTGAAGAGGTGAGATGTCTCAGTTCCCTTCACAGGGCAGTGTTGCCAGAGGGCCTGGGTAAGGGGGCTGCGGGGCACTGTGTACTGACTGCCCCTCTGCCCCACTAGGCTGCAAGCCGGGAAGTGGAACGGGACTTTGATTCAGTGTATTCTCGCCTCGTGCTCTGCAAGACTTACAGGTAAAGCCACTTTATTCACACCAAGTGGTTAAGTCTATGCCCTGCCCTTGTGTTCTTGTCCAGCTGCTGCTGCTTTCCACCTATAAAAGGGTCCTGGTCTGCCCCCACCTCCCGTGGGTCTGGTGTCAATAGGCTGCTGTTCCTCTGCAGACTTGGGGCTGGCAGTGGCCCTTGGCCCCTTCCCTGGGCTCCTGTGTTTACTAGTGGGACTGTATCTTGCTCTCTCACAGCTGCAGGATCACCCACGGGCTCAGTAGTAGCAAGGGAGCTGTCGCTGCCATTGGGGTGTGGAGGGGGGAAGGCCTGCTGGTGCCCAGGGTGGCTCTGGAGCTAGCTAGCTCTCTGCTGTGACTTTTGCAGGCTCGATGAAGATGGCAAAGTCCTCACTCCAGAGGAGCTGCTTTACCGGGTGAGTGCTGCCCCCAGCCCAGCAGAGCCCACCTCTCAGCCTGGGCAGATTTTCTGTGCAGCCTGTTGGAGGGTGACCCCCCCCTCCCCCCTTCCCCGAGAGAGGCGCTCGTGAGCCTCCCAGACCTTCCCACTGAGGAGGGATAGAGATGCCAGGTGCTCAAGGAAAGGCAGAAAGTTGAGCCATCAGGGAGTCTTGGCACCTTTAGTCCTGGCAGGTGGCACCAGGTGAGGGTGGGGGACAGGTGGGGAGCTCTGGGGAGGGCAGTGTTTGACTGCATTGCTGAAATACCTGCCCGGCACAGCCTGAAGCTAAGCTGTGAGAAGGCAGTAACCACATCTTCCCACCCCCCAGGCAGTTCAGGCTGTGAACATGACGCACGACGCTGCACACGCACAGATGGACGTGAAGCTTCGTTCCCTCATTTGTGTCGGACTCAAGTGAGTCATCCAGGCCTCAGCATCGTGAGTGCGAGGAACTTGGGAGGGGGCAGAGCAGGCATGAGTGCAGCACGTTTCGGTCTCTACCCTAGGCCATGGGGGATTTCCTCCCCTCCTGCAGCAGTGACCAAGTGGGACCTGCTCCGTTCTGGTTGGGCATGCTCCCTGGATACTGGCTGAAAGTAGCTCTCATTGCTTAGAGTAGCCTGCACGGACTTACTGAGGTAGCCTGTTCCTGTGGGGGACAAAGCTTGGGCTGGAAACCCCCTAAATCCTAATCCTATTAGCCTATCCTAAAGCAATGGGACTCCTTTCGCTGGTTTTGGCCCTGAAACATGCCTCTGCCCCATCACTGCAGTGAGCAGGTGCTGCATTTGTGGCTGGAGGTGCTGTGCTCGAGCCTACAGACCGTGGAGAAGTGGTTCCATCCCTGGTCCTTCCTACGCAGTCCTGGCTGGGTGCAGATCAAGTGTGAGCTGAGGTGAGTCTGTCCCTGTGGGCCTCACCAGGGCCTGGGGTGGCTTTTCTTCTCCCATGCAGGAGATGGGCCTTGCCGCGGCTGGTTTTGGACCAGCTCCAGTCAGCAGCAGTGCTTGCTGCCCAGACTTCCCCACAGCAGAGATTTCCTCCCATGTGCTGAGACAGCAGCGACCGTCTAGACAGTTTAATGGGATGCGCTGTGCCTGCCTGATCAAGAGCAGAGCCCGGCTCCCTGGGAGCTGTGGTGACGAGCGGGCAGTGTCTGCCTGCCAGCAACCTGCAGCCGTATCCCATGACCTGCTCTGATGGAGAGAGACTGCCTCGTCTACCTCCCTGCGCTGCAGGACATCAGCTCTCGGGGCTGGCTGGCGTGAGCCCTGCAGCGACCGAGCAGGGAGCTGGGAACCTGCTGAGGAGACAGTCCGGTGCTGCTTGGGAAGGAGTCAGTCACTGGCCAGACCGTGCGGCTAGCTCAGATGAGGAGAGGTGTCAGGGGCTGAACTTGGCTTCTAGTGCCTGAGCTTGCACAGAACGCGTTGCTTGAAGCTGAGGGCCGCATCCCCATCGCTTGCTTCCGGCCCTCCTGCACTCAGCAAGGCCAGAGCTAGTCCCAAAGGGCCACAGAGCAAGCCCTCCTCTTGCCGCTCTCACTGTCCTGCCGCCGCCGCCATCCTGCTGGAACTGGCTTTTGGCTGCAGCACCAAGTTGTTTGCAGCCCAAAGGCCTGTAGCAGGGAGTGGGCCTGCGTACCTGCACCTGGGGGTGCCCTGTTCTTCTTGTGCTGCTGCTAAATGGGAGGAAGGGGTTGCCTTCCACTTCCAAGCTGCAGTGTCCCTGTGACAGCAGCTGCTTTCTTGCAGCACAGAGGCAGCACTCATTCAGCAAAGCTTTGGGACAGTGCCAAGCCAGTGCCAACAGACCAAGCAGGACTGGTTCTTGGTGGGGACCAGGCTGGCGGAGAGGAGGACCCAAGGCTTATGCCAAATTCCTCCCAGGTTGCTCCCTGCAGAGGGCCTTGGCTCTCCTACTGCTGCAGGAGTTTGAGGACCCATGGCAGGACTTTCACCTCTGCCTGCTTTGGGACGGTGCCAAGCCAGTGCCACCACTTGGTTTCAGCCCCCTCACACTAGCTGGAGCTAGTCCCAAAGGGCCACTGAGCAAGCCCTGCCTCTTGCCACTCTCGCCCTGCTGGAACTGGCTTTTGGCTGCAGGACCCGGTTGTTTCCAGCCCCAAAGGCCTGTAGCAGGGAGTGGGCCTGCGTACCAGTATCTGGGGGTTCCCTGTTCTCCTTGTGCTGCTGCTGCTGAATGGGAGGAAGGGGTTGAGATGGGGAGAGGTGTCAGGGGCTGAACTCCACCTCCCCGTCCTCAGGGCAGACCCTGCTCGCAGCCAGGGCCAGTGACGCAGCCAGGGCTGGTGACGGATCTCCCTGTGCCGTCCCCATGGAGCTCTTGTACATGGGGGTTGGAGCCCTTCTCTTACCCCAGGCACCAGGATGCTGCTGGCAGGAGTCTGCCTTTTGGAGAGGAACCTGCAAACCCCCTTTGCCAGCCGTGTGCAGTCCTCAGCCGTGTGTGTCTGCGGTGCAGCAGAACAGGGAGGCTGCCTGCACCTCCCTGCGCTGTTGTGCAGGGCTCTGTAGGGGTTGCACTTGAGTCACATTTTCAAGCTTCTCTTCCCAGCCTGGGTCTGGTGGGATGTGAAGCCCAAAGGGGTTGAGGGGAAATGGGGGATGAGTCGCTGCTGCTGTTGCCCCTTCAGTGCCAAGAAGCAAAGATCTCCTTCCTTCTAAGCTTAGTGTCCATCGCAGGACCAGCTGAGGAGCTGGTGTGTTTGTGTGACTGGGGACAAAAGCTGAGGCACAGGCTGGGAGTGTGTAACGTGCACGCACGAGTAACCGTTGTTCTGTTCCACTGCAGAGTCCTCTGCAAATTTGCCTTCAGTCTCTCTCAGGACTGGGAGCTGCCTATAAAGAGGGAGGTGAGTAGTTAGCATCTTATCCTTCCCCTCAGCCGGGGGAAGGAGCTTACCATCCCCCTCCCCTAGACTTTGCGCTCCAGCCTATCCTCTGCATCCTCTTGAGGCAGTGCCAGAGGCTGCAGACCAGGCTGCTTTCCTTGCCAGGACAGGCACGGTGCTGCCTGCGCCTGCCCAGCTGGGGCAGAGGGAAATGTCAGGCGCCTCCCTTCCCTGGTGCTCTCCAAACCGCAGGGCCTCTCCCTGGTTCAGCTGTGCTGAGGTGGAAGAAAGGGAGGCTGCTCTGTCTGGGCTCCAGGGTCCTGTGCTCCAGATCTGCTTGCAGAGGCACCCCTCTTTTCTGGGGGGGGGAGGGGGGGTGCAGTGACCGGCATCTCTGTGTGTTGCCCTGCAGGAGAAGGAGAAGAAGCCACTGAAGGAAGGGGTGCAGGACATGCTGGTGAAGCACCATCTCTTCAGCTGGGACATAGATGGGTGACCCCCGCTCCACCCCACCCTGGGGAACCTTCTCAACCACCCCTCCCACTTGTATCTATCTGTGACAAAATCCCCCTCAGGGGGCTGCCAGGCCACCTGGGACAAATGGCAGCAGCGCTGAGAGGCCAAGCTGCAGACCCAAGGGAGATCATGGTTGAGGTTGATGCGGTAGAGGGACAAGTGTGCTCTTGCCACAGAAACAAGTGGCCCCCTCCCAGGCTTCTCCCTCTCTGCCACCCAGATCTTCTGCTTGCCTCTGCCCTGCCTCCCTCCAGCGCTGGGGGAGAGCGGCCTGGCCCACAGCCCCTCGCCCAGTGCCCTCCAGGCCAGCAGCTGTGTGTGTGTGTGTACAAGCGTTTCTGAGTGCTGCTGTAGCTGTGGGGAAGAGGCTGCCCTTGCGGGGTGGCTTTGGTCTGTGAAGGCTGACGCTGTGGGCAGGTGGCACTGCAGGTGCAAGTGGGATTGGGCTGTATGGGAGCTGGACTAGCACATCCCCCTCCGCGCCAGCCAAGGACTTGCCTCCGCCAGGGAAAGGGAAGGCAAAACCTGAAGCACTTGGACAAGTTTCTCTGCCCTGGGGCCAGGGCAGAGAGGGGGAAACGCCCTCATCGGCCTCATCCCACCTCCCCAGCATGGGTGTGTGGGGTGTTGACAAGGGGTGCCCAAACGCACCGGCCTGTTACCACTGTAACAGCCTTAGGGGATGGGGCTTGTCTTCTCTTGGAGCAGACAAGAACCAACTTTTCCCTAAGCAAGAGTGTTTCATGCTGTCATTTTAGTCTCTAGATTATTTTTACTGTTAACCAAAAAGCTGTAAATTATCTCTAGGAATATGTGTATATTTTGGCACTGTTGTAGCTCAGGATGGGGGTTCAGGTTGGAGCTGGCTCAGGGAGACTAACTAAAACTAACGCGTCCTTGCCCTGCGGTGGCAGCAGGGGCGCAGGTCAGGCGTGAAGAATTGCTGCTTTGTGGTGGTGGCTCTGGATATGGAGTCTGTGACTTTCTACTGAAAGCGCTTGTCTGTGAGCACAAACTACTCATGAAATGACACTAGATTCTTACTTTCCTTTATTCTGTGGGTTTGTAAATAAACTGCATCTTGGGAGAGGTCTGGGTTTTGGCTTTGTTTTTCAGCAGGGCCGGGACAAGATGTAATTCTTAATTTCTGCCCTATGATGATAGTTATGGCCCTGTTTCTGCCACTGCGCCGTGTTCCTGCAGGTGAGTGAGCAGTTGCTCTGTGTTACCCAGTTTTTCCCTTGGGCGCTGGCACAATGGTGACTGCGGGCACCGGCCGACCACCAGCCTGGGCCGAAGAGCCAGCAAGCAGCAAGGGTGGGTGCAGTTGTGCTGCCAGCAGTGGCAGGCCCGAAAAACGGGCCCGCCCCTTCACGGCAGAGCCCCAGGAGGCCTGGGAACACAAGACGGACAACTAAGGGCTGTCAGGTCCCTGCAGCAGGAGGGCAAAGGGAGAAGGACTGGCAGAAAGCAGGGCTGTGCGGCAGGGAGCTGCAGTGTTTGAGCAGTGAGGCAGGTATAGGAGAAAGAGCACAGAAGACCGGGGAGGTGCCACCTCAGTAACTGGGGCGGTAACTGAGCATGGGCCAAGGGAGCGAGAGCGCTATGTTCAGGGCAGTCCAAGCTCATAGAAGAGTAAAAGTTGCAAAATGTTTACTGATGTGAAAATCGGTGTGTTTTCAAAGTAGCTCCAGCAGTGCAGCCTTTGGCCAAGAAAGAGTGCTGCTTCGCCTCGCCTCACCTCACCATCCAGCTGGGGGTAGGCCCAGACCAGGGAAGTTTTTAAACACTGTCCTTGCTTCTCCTAACATTAGGCCAACTTCTGGTTGCAGGGTTGGTACTTTCCACACAGTGAGGGAATCTCCCTGCGGCTGAGAAGGAATGGGGCACTGCTGGTCAAGCACTGATTTTTTTTTTTTTTTCCCCCCATTGAAAAATGAATGAATCTATGAGAGCAAATATACAGAATGGCAACAACAGGGTATAAATGCTTTAAATAGAGCAGCCCCAGGCCTCCCACCAACACAGTAGAGAAGCTTTGAAACACATGGCTGTTTCAAATTTTTTTAATAAAATGGATTTTTTTTTCAAATATTTGTAACTGAAAAAATAATTCAATTTAAAGATCCATTCTCTCCCCCATTAACTTGTCACTCTTGTCCTTTTCCAGTTGAATACTCGCTCTGGATCCATTGCCCCAACACCATCTGTCTCAGACAGTGCTGATCACCTGTTGCCATTTGCTGCATAGTGGAAGGGAGAGTGCGTGCTAGTCAAACACATTACAAACAAGTAGTGGTTACAGCAGAAAGATTCAGGATTACATTCAAGGTAGAGGCAGAACATCAGACTTTTTGTTTTTTCCAATGGGTGCAAAAACGTATGTCCAGGGGAATACCTCTTCCAACAAAGACCTATTGAACTATTATTCAAACAAATAATAGTTAAAAAAAAAAAAAAAAAGCAGAGAACGGGGCTAGGCTGCTGCTGAGCCAGGGCACTCTGAGCACCTGTGGGGAAGGAGACCTTTCTACTTATTCCTGGGATGAGGCACCATGTTCCTCCCTCCCCTCAGCACAAGGCCATCTCTCTCTCTCTCTCTCTCTCCCTCTCAGCAGAAGCCCTTTGTGCAAAGGGGGCTCCCCTTTCCTAAGGAGAGGAGGGTTACGGGTCTGTGTTATCTTGGCTCCTTGAAAGCTCTCAAGCCCATTTCCATTGCTGTGGGCACATTTAAGGTAATCGGATTCCTGCAAGTTTCACAATCAAGGTGTTGGGGGTAGAGGCGAGAGGGAGCATCTATGTGAGCGCATCCTTTCTTCATGAGCCCACTATGGGGCGGGGGGAGAGGCTGCCACAGGCAGGCAAAAATCGGTACCTGGCACTGGTGTTGCTCAGCCAACAGGGACTCCTGCCCCCTGTTGCTGTGTCATGCCAGCACTCCCTGAGCAGCTCCCTTTAGCTAGAGCTGGGCTTTGCAGGCTGGGGGAAGGGGAGGCCTGCTCTTGGCGTGGGCCCACCTTCCTGTAGGATCTCGTTGCACTTGGATTTGCTCTTTATTTACTAGTCCCT